GGCACACGGCAAGTGTTAGTGACAAGTACGCCTGCTGGATAGGTTTTCAGGAGCAAATGTACAGGAGAATCTAGGTTGTGTGAAATATATCCAATAGGCGGGTAGAATTACCGGGGTTGAAGTGTATTAGTATACCAACATCAAAGAATTGCGGTATACCCTCCCCAACCCGCCTACAACCCCCACTCCCTCAATATTTTATCCCTAATGTTTTTTTCAAAAATGAACAGGATCCTATAAAACGTCAAAAATGACGGTTTGACTATTTCCACTTGTTTGACTTAGCTATTTTTAACCGCCGCCACTGAACCGATTTCCAAAAGTTACAAACCTTCCTGGACATAGTAGTTAGTAACTTTGTGGAAAACTTTCATTCAAATCGGAGCAGCAGTCGCCAAGTTATAGACTGGTTAAGGATTTAGGCGAAGAGCGACAGGTAGACAGACTGAAATGAGTGACATAGTTTTTCGTATATATATATATATATATAACATCCAAAAAACCATAATACCTATTTATTAAATTTTTTGCGAGTACTATACTTCGTCGCCAGTAAGCCTGAAAAATGCAAATTGCCGCCAGTTTTAAACTAAAATAACACTTTGAATGGCAAAATTTTCCATTTTTGGTAGAGTAAAATGCAATTTCGAATTGCTAATTGGTAAATAAAACAAAGACAGTCCTTGCTAATATTACCACAAAGTTGAAATACCCACCAAGTTTGTGCGTAAACTTATATGTGCCCTTAGTTTGAATGCCGAACATTATTAAGAACACAGGATATAGTATTGCAAGCGAGGCGAAGCGATCCAAAGCGTGGTGGTTCCTTGGCCATGTTTTAAAACGTGAAAGTCATACAACCATTGTTAGAAATAACTTCGCAATTAGTGGACCGATTTCAATATTTGAAGCTTATTTTACTCCTTTAAAGTCAAAGATGCTTTGTGATTATACCTTGTTCGAATAAGTGAATAGTTATTAAGATATAATTCTCTTACTATTTACCATTTTGCGAAGGTACGAAACGTTATTCCTCAAAAAAAAAAGGGAACGAAGCCAACTTTGCAAACGTTGTTGTTATTGTTATTTGGAGAGTAGAAACTGCATTGCAACTATCGGAGTAAGTCACTTAATTTGATAAAATGTTATTTTATGAACGGGCCTATTGTGAAAATGCTCGAAAGATAATTGATTCTTTGTAAATCCCGAGAGTACCCCGGGGAAGCTCCGTGCATTTTAGTTTTAGTGAGAAAATTTGTGCTATAAGGAACATATTGGGGAATGTGTGTATTTTATTATTTACTAGGTATTTAGAATTTACGGTTGGCCGAGTGACACACATTCCCCTTCCACCAGCAGATTTATCACCTTCTAAAAGGTCGAAGGCGAAGCATAATCATTGGCCCGAGCTCGTACATCTTCTACAAAAGTCCCCCGTATAGTTAGTATTAGCTGCACCCTTAAACTTTTAATTATCGCAATTTAGTGAGTTCGTAAAAGTTTCATGGCAGAAATTGGAGCTCTATTACCTAGACAACGATTGAACGACACCAATCACTTCTTGAAGTGAAAGGGCCCAGAGATTGAATATGTACAGCCCTTCCCGTCGGAGGAGGGTGTATATAGATTGGTGAACCTATCCCTTATCCCTCAATATATTACCCTCCTTTTAATTGGATACGGTAAGATAACGCAGACGAAAATAATGTTTGTGTTACGTTTCACTTTGGCATCTGACTTTGCGGATAAAACCACTTTATCCGCAAGTCTAATGAGAAATTGATCGTTTTGTTTAAAAGTCTCATGCACTTGTGTTATGCAAAACAAGACAGACTATCTAAAAAGTGAAGGAGAATATACTACCGACACAAAAGTTTGACTGTTAATCACATAAGAAGTAAACAATGAAGGTAATCTGGAGAGCTAAAACTGAAGCTAATTAAGTTGGCGATCATGTCCAGTAGCGCATTGTCTTGATAAAACTGGCGCAGGTTCCGTGTTCGAAACATGCTGTCGCAATTCATCTTGAAAATCACGGAGCTTATCCGGGTGTTTCAAATTCGAGCCTAATCACTGGGATTTTGAAAATGGTTGGAGATACGAAGGGGCTTAAATGGAGGCAAAATTGCGTAAGTAACAAAATGTCGCTTAGAAAGTTTAGAAACTCAAAGTACTTCCGGAGAGAGACGGAAAAAACCAAATGTAAAATAAATTGTACAGTAATATTGGCGCCCTTTTTCTCTACAAGATTGTATAATTAGAATTTCAATATAACGTTTCGTCCAACATCAGCTTTATTTTCTCTAATGTGACATATTGGATCTTTGCTCAGATAAATAGAGTGTTCAGATCTCATCTCAAAAACATATAATGGACGTCTTATTTCAAAAAAGTACAATTTCCTAAATAGGCTTTGAAATTATCAGATATCCTGGTTTTATTTGTACCGAGATTTTAAAATAAATCACACATTGATACTCTTTCTCCTCGACAGGAAGGCGTACCTAGTCCAATTCTCAAATGGATGTTTCTGCTTTCGATGTCCATCATCAGCATTGTTTTTTCTTACAGACTTGAAATTTTGCCCATAGAAGCATCACTTTTGATTCTACATCTAGTTTTGAATATAATACATTGATTGATGACACGATAAGCTTTACGTATTTAATTAAAGTTATATTTATTTTTAGTAGTACTTGAATGTACAAATTGCCAATGTAGGGTCCATATGAAAAAACAAAGTTGGCAATGAAAGTCGAAAGAGCAAACTTCAAATTGAAAATTTTACTACTCCATCTTATAGGAAAGAAGAAGTGGCAACGACAGTAAGAATTTTATTTTGATATCCCGTCTCAAATAAAGTCAGGAAAACACAAACATTATTTTGCGATAAATCTGGTACACGGGACAAATGACTATCTGATACTTTCAATAGAAAATTCCCTTTTTTGGAGTAACAAACGAATGGTGATGACAATGTATGACATGTTATACATTTTTGAAATCAGAATTAAATACTTTATCCATCTGTGCAAAAATCCAATATGGCGCCCATAAGAAAACATATAGTTGAAGGTGGAGGACGTCACATTGAAGTTCTGCTTCGGCCATTTTGTAGAGGAGAAAACGTATCAATGTTATTGTGCAATCTATTCCAAAATCCCAGTACAAATAAAGTCAAGAAAAAGTTAAAACCTTTTTGGGAAAATCCAGTTTTGTCAACCCTGTGACTTCGTATCGCTTACCGCTTCCAAAATCTAAAATCCTAATGGTCGATTTTGAAACAGCAGTTATGTTCGGAGAACCGGACAAATGAGAAAAAACTACTCCGGAACTTGACTCCTGATTGAGGGCGCAGTGACCGAAGTGAGTACCAGCTACAGCGAATGCACAGGATATATCTATTTTTATAAAACTAAATTTTTATGAATGTTAAATAGTAGTAGAACAGGTTACAACAGTGTTGCCTGGCAAGTGCATTTCACCACCTGACTACCTTTATTAACACCTTAAAAATGGACGGGAGGTACTTAGCCATCCTCCTATATTGTACATTTTATAACAGGTAGCGCTATTTTACTCAGAACGGATCTAACAATTTACATCGCGCTAGCTTGTCTAATGAATAATTATTGAAGTTTAATGGGAATTTCTAACGTGAGGATTTGTGAGCTAGCCAGAAAGGTTAATCTCTCTGGTATAGCTTCACCTTCACGCTTGCAATTTTCGCATTAGACGGTAGGCAAAAAGAAACAAAACCTTGCGAGATTACTCCTGACGGATAGAGACGGAAGGTTTCTGTCGAGAGTAACTAACGGATCTGAGCTTTTCAGTATATCCATTGCATATTTGATGGCGAACATGTTGCTTTAAGATCTATGAGAATTAACAGAACAGCAAGTATTGAGTCTATTGAATAAGAAAAGATTTTCCTTGGAAGTAAAATCTTGTAAGGATAAGTTGATACTAACAAACACAATGTATTTCTCATTTTTATTTGAATAAAAATTCGTTTATTCTTAAAAGATAATACTGGAAAAATTTCCCACATTTAAATTTTTTCTAATAAGTCATTACTTATTCCTTATCATAATTATAAGTATTTACTTGGATATCGGTGCAAGACAAGTCACGACAACTCTGTATCTCTTTAATCCGGTGTTACAATGTTAGTTGTCGATCAAGATTTAGAGGTATTGCTGTAATCGTGTCGTCGAGTAAGGAAGAATTACCTGTCCAGAACGGCTGTCGGACGCTTATATTCCCCAGGTTATCGAAAATCATAGAGTTCATTTAAATAAATCAAGCTGAAGAAAAGGGATGGAAGAGTATCAAAGACTAATTTGTCAAGACTTCTGGTACAAGTATTACCATTGAGAAATTGAAAAAAATCCTCAATAACTTGAAAACAGATGTAAAAAAAACTTGATATGAATACGACTTGTAACAAAACAATTAAACTACGTGAGTGGGAAAATAGATTCTTGGAAATACTGAATTATGAAGAAGTCCAGTGTTCGTAAAAGTTCCAACAGAAAAACAAAACAGATACTCCCAAAAATAATGGATCAACTAGTATGAGTTAACAGTTACCTTCTTCACCTACAGAAACGATAGACAAGCGTCCAAGGAAGAAAAAATTCAAGCAAGAAACTGAAGAAACCGCATACCTGTCAACAAAAGAATTACAACGAAGTGTTCTACTTGAACAATTAAATGTTTCTAGACATCGTGATAGAAAAACTGACATATGCTGCGCCAAACCCTTATCCTACGAATACTTCTGAGAAAGAAGAAAATACTGGCGACAGTATGAAAGAGTTACGAGAATTCATAGATTTGTAATATACAAATATGTATTTCATTCTCATTTCAGCAATTTTTTTGTGATTTTGTATTCAAGGATTCTTTAAATTAAACACTATAGCTACAGTTAACGTGTTAGTTATTTTAATATTATAATACACAAAAATTCACGGCGCCAGTTAAGTGATAAAATAATGGATAAATCACATGACAAATTCAAGTTGAAATTAGAATCACTTAGATCACTTTATGGTTAAAAATTGTCTCCACTATTGCTCGGCGTTTTTCCTCATGTTCTTGACGAATGTTATCTACTTTTTCTACATCATAGGGCACGTCATGTCCTCGGGGCGGTTTATTTCATTTTCTTCGATCATCCCGTAGACATTTGCAAATGTTATGTAGAACAGCGGAGATAGCAATAATTTTTTAACTTTTGCCAAATATACTTTCAGTTTCTGATTTGAATTAAGAAATTTCTGTTTCACCTGCTCAAATCCTCTTTCAGTTGTGACGTTATGAGGGTTTTTAAATGGAAAGGCAAAAAATACCTCGAAATCTAGCCATAATTTCACATATTGAACTTTGTTTTAAAATCTTGGAATCATGACCGCTTCCAGGCCACTGACTATCTACACTTGTAATTACTTCATTCGCATCATAAGTTAATTGTATAGTCATACTCGCAAATCCTTTTCTATTGATATATTCGTCACCAAAACCTGAAGGTTTTTTTTTGATATGAGTACAGCACGGATGACAATAGGTGTAACAAATCGATTCGACCATTTTCTTCTTGCCTCTTTCATTCCCTCCAGGTCAGACGGGAACTCTATCCACCGATGGGCTTTCTCAAATATTCTGTTAGCAACATAATCAGTTTTACATACTGTCGAATGGTGAACGCCGATATCTCCTTTATAAACATTAAGTCTCGAACTTTTCACAGATTTTAAGCAAGGATCTCAATTTTATGTTCCAATTTACAATATTACTATTAGTCCAAAGGTCTTTAAGAAATAGCCGCCTAAAGTGAAGGTATTAGGGTGAGGTGGTGGGGGGATCAGCTCTAGCTCGATTTATTTTTTGAAATTGAGTCTTCAAATCGAAGCGCCCTGTAAAATTTTGCATTATTTCGGCTTCTAAGCAACGTAGAACCTTTTTTTCAATTTGGGGTAACATTTTCATTTTTCTGGAAAATCCGAAAATCCCGAAGAACTTAACACGTTGTATTCTTCAAAATTAAATTACTATGAAATAATAATAAATTAATAATAAATCATTTACTTTTACTCTCGCTGTAAACAAATAATTTATATTTTAAAACAGAATTGTTTAAACAATTCATAATTCAGTTAATTGGTATAATCTTAAAAGAAAATACACACTAATCAATTGTACAAACTATAGATACACGTTTGCCTTTCATTTATATTTATTTTATTTGCATTCTTTGTGTTATAGTAATATTATATAATGCATTTATTTATTATAATATTTTATCATATAATTAATCTTGATCCTCCGTTCTAAATCTTTAATTTGGACGCTCTCCTTCTTCTTCAATATTTGTATAACTCATTACTTTAAATAAGTCGTCGATTTTCTAGGTCTGTTCTTTCTCATCGTCAATTCCAATTTTAGCAAGGTTGTAGCATTTTGTGTCATCAGCATTTATTACACTTGCTGCACAAAAGTGTGCAATTTAACCCATGTTTTTTGCAACCACAGCTACCCGTTTGCAAACTAGTAGTAGATTTACAGGAAATTTGTTTGGTAGTATCGTCTCCTATTAAACTGTCGATAGTACTCGTATATACAGGGTGACTTTGAAGTTGAGTCATTAATTTTCAGATAATGATTGTAGAAGGAAGATAAACCAAAATATGTGTGTAAAAATAAAAAAAAAAATAAAAAAAAAATGTTACCTTGTTTAATAAAGTATCCTCCCGACAAGTATTTCAGTGCGGACCTGTATTTGATCGTGCGGTCTTGGAGCAGCATGCCCTCACCTGTGAGGTCTTAAGTCTCCTGATTCACGAGCCCTTTGCACTACATTAACAAAGGCACGAGGGGTTGGTTGCACTCGATTGGGAAACCGATTCGCATAAATCCGTGATGCATCCGGGAGCATTTTGTAAAGACTGCCCCCCCGTAAATAAGAATCATGTCCACAAGTTCAGCATTTTCGTAAACATGTGCCATTTTTGATTTCGTTTGAGCCACGCAACACACTACTATTCACTCAGGATTTATCGACTGACGAAAAACATCGTGATAAACGTTTCAAATTCTTTCGCTTTTTTGTTTCCGATGCGATGAACCGGTCAGGCGGATTATATCCGTTGTCGCCAAACACGAGCATATAATAGGCAGGGCGGTACTCAAACTTCCAAAGGGCTATAACTTTGTTACTTTAATTTTACCAGAAAAATGGTAAAGGAAAAAAACATTTCTTTTGATCAGATCTACTCACTGTTAAAATAAATGACTCAACTTCGAAGTCACCCTGTATAGATCGGTTCGAAACCGTTGTCACTTCGCCTCCACCCGTACTTGGTTGGATCTAATTTATTACTTAACCATGTTTGCAACTGGTAATATACCCGTGGATTTTTTTAAAAATGACTTTTTAACCACCTATCCAGATCCACTTGAAAAATAAATTATTTTGAAGGATAACGGAGTTACTGTAAATGGTTATAACTATAAAAATAGCTGATTTTTAACACCATTTCTAACAACAATTTTGAATCAAATAATTGTTTTTTTTGCATAAATTCTTGAACTCGGAACATTAAAGAATCCATTTCACTTTTGTAAAATGTTCTAGGACCATGTCTTCGTCAATAAAAGTTGTCTAAATAATTCGTCTCTGGGATAAATAGCTGGCTTCTTGCATAAACTATCAAACCGATACGGCTGAAATTCAGCGCACTTATAAACACCAATGATGCTCCCAAATGTTTAGCCATTCACAGTTGTTATTGCAATAGTTATAAACATTTATTTAATATTGCTAGATTTTGCTCAATCGCTTATCGATTTTTACTCTTAATAAACAAAATTGACGGTATTTCTATGCTCTTAAATCCCCAGTTCACCGTATACTCATGAAACATGGTTTGAAAGTTATACAAGCAAAATACTGAATTTGGGGCATTTTCCATTGTTTATAAAAAAGCAGCGCTTATCTGGCTGTACCTTTTCATGTATTTGCCATTCAAACCTTTCAGATACCTGCTAACATTTTTCCACCATTTTTTATCTAGACTGGACTATAGTTTATATTACAGATTTGGATAGATTTAAATACTTTTGCGTTTTGTCAGGATCTTTTGATATGCGTTTGACTGGCTCTACTAGAACAACTTCGAAATTGTGAAGTGTAAAAATACATGCGGTGTCTTACTTGAATGCTTTAATGAACTATGAATTATGCGATTTTGAGAACTCTGTAAAACTAATTAACTCGAACAATTTAAGGACTGGATAAACTAAATGTCATCTGTAGTTCATAACATCTTCTTTGACAAAATTCAGTACCCTGCTTATTAACGTTGTCGAGTTGCTGGTTGCCACACATTCATTTTTTACATTGGATACAGAACTATCTACAAAACTAATAAAAAAAACTCAAAAGTATATAAGTCGGATAGAGAAATGATGAAGGTTAAAGACGTTAAGTAAGCACATCATAAGCAATACACACACATAGTTTTCCAACCCAAACTAAATCAGTGACTTAGAAACTGAGGTACCTGGTCCCCTAATAGGAAATATTTTCTACACCACTGGAGCAACCTGCATACTATAAAACATTATTGAATTTTCCATTAATCTTGCTTCTTAAAGAATTTTTGTCAGCTTATGCGTTTTGGAGATATTTAGATTTGGATATTTGAGGAAAAATCCTAAAATATTCTTTGAAAAGGTTTAGCCTCCCCTATTCTGAAAACACCGTGAAGCTATACATTGACATGAGAAGAAAGCTATGGCACCTCACTACACCATTAGTTGAATAATATTCGTGTCTTATCCTCAATCAGTATCGTAACGCAGTGCACGCCACTGGTTATTCCGGTGTATTTATTTTTGTTTATAGATAAAGAAACGCCAAAACAAAGAAAATGTCTATTACAAAAATAAATAAATGAGGATAATAAGAACTAAACACGACAACAATGAGCATTACATTTTATACGACTTACGTGGTTATTTATAAATTTAGGAGGCATAAGATTAGGAACAAAAAATAATGCTCAACCTGTGGATTCAACACAAGGTCGTGCTCTACGCCACAAAAACTCTCTGATTCTTTGAAAAATACCTGGCGTAGTACGAACAGAGCTTAAAGCTTTCTGTATACTTCATCCTCATGCTTTGTGTCCGAGACTGCTAACCATTTGCGGTATCTTCTTTGTTGCGCTCACTTGATCTGAAGTGCTCAAGAATTTTGAAAAAAAGGCCGATAATTTCAGAAGTAAAATAATAAGAATTTTACTCAAATTGATTGTTTCCACAATTACTAGTTTTGATTTTCGACAAACAGAAGAACCAAATATGGGTAATACCATGATCACCAGTGGCGTGCATATACAAGGTTTAATGAATGGTAAGCTTCTACGCTACTGATGGAGGATAAGACACGCATGTGATTCAATTAATGTGCCATATAGTGTTTCCAATATCAGGCCTTGTGGCGTTTTAAGAATAGGGGAGGTTAAACCTTTTCATAAGAATATTTTAAGATTCTATCAAAAAAAAATAGATATACTAAAAAATTTCTTCAGAGACGAAACTTATGGAAAATTGAAGAGTATCTTATTAAATGCACTTCTTTCCTACGAAAAGGCCTGTGGCGTGAAAAGTAGTCACTATTAGGGGTCCGATTACCCTAGTTTCTACGACCCTGGCTTAGTTTGGGCCGGGAAGCTCTGTGTTTATCGCCGATGATGTGTGCTCACTGAATGTCTAAGGTCCTAAGGGCGAAGACACAGTGGAAGCTGGTTTCCTGCTTACCGGCAACCAGCGCCGATCGGGGCTTATAAGCTTCTGTAATAGTATCATGCTCTTGAGTTGGCAATAACACAATAGAGGAAGGCTCAGGCCTACCGGAATGATTATTTAGTTCTTCCTCGCCGATTGTCAGAGCATGTTGATGTGGATAATGGATATAGACAAGTTAATCGCATCAGTATGCAAACAATGCCCCATATGGGATGAAAAATAAACAACATAGTAACAGAAAT